GTTCCTATACAATTAATAAATACATTTCTTTTTAGACTTTTTGTCTTTGGAGATGTCTTTTTGCTGTTTGGAAAGAAAGGCTTCTTGTTAGGAGCCTTCTCCTTCGACTTGTGCTCTATAAGGTTTGCCTTTGCAATGTTCAAAAATTCAGGCGACCGGTGGCTGAAAGGCCAAATTGCCTAGGTGGGCCTTAAGCAAACTTCCTAAGCATCGTGCATCTAGGCGCTCACCTTAAGGCGATGGGCGCCTAAGTGGCATCTCGATCCAAGCAAGCTGAGGGAGGAAAATAGGCTCTCAGCCAAGGGTATTTTGGGGATTTCCCCCCTTAAAAGGGGGGTGGGGAGCATTCTAGTCCCCCAAACCCCTTTTGTGTATTTTAGATAGGGAAAAACTATCTAAAAAACTTAGGTTTTGAGATAATTCTCAAGATCAAAAAAAATAACATTTTTTATTCCTTGCGATATTCTTTTGAGTTTTTTTTCTTTTTTGACACATTTGTAGTTGAATACTTGAAATATGTTCTAAATATTTCCCAGTTTGGGCCTATATTGAAAAGCTTGGTGCATTACAATATTTGAATTGATTTTTCTTTTTTAATAATGTGTTACGATTGATATTCTTTTATTTTATATTTTTCTTTTTTGATATTTTTACATGTTTATAGTTGGAGTATTTTGTGACTATTTACCGATTTGGGCTTATATTTTGTGAATAGTTTGAAAGTTCGAATTAAATTCAAGGAAAGTACAGAATGAGACCATTTAACTTTGGTACAAAGTGGTCACATTAATCTTGACCATTGGATGTGAAATTGGGTGGCTGCAATTATTCCATTTACTAAGCTCAAACTTCAAAAGAAATTTTCTCGAACTTTGTGACACATCCAAGCTATCAAATTTCGCATCGGATTGTAAGTAATTGTGACCACCTTGTATGAAAGGTAAATGGTCTCATTGTATACAATCCCTTAAATTAACATTTTGTGAATATTTAGATTGCAAAACCAAATCTTTGGAGCCTCAAAACTGCCCTAAGAACTCCCTCGGGGGCCTAAACCCCTGCCCTAAGAACTCCTTGGAGCCTAGCATGTCTTTGCGCTCCTGGGCGCCCGCCTAGGCAGGCGCATCCGACTTTTTGAACATTGTGCCTGGGATTAAAAACGATGCAGGAAAATTTGAGAAAATAATAAAATCAGCAAAGAACAAGCCAAACACAAGAACAATTCAATGAAACCGAGGGTTTCTTTTCCACACCCAAGCTAGAGTTACAAATGCCTAAGCTTTTCTTTTTTCTCAATTATGGAAAATCACGTGACTGGCTTCTCTTAGACCCCTACACACCTCTTAGTAATACTATTTAATGTTCCAAATACAAAAGTATCCAAACAAATAAAAAATTTACCCATATTTCCTAACTTATACTTAAAATTCGTAATGATAGTTTTACCTTGTGAACAGTACTCGTGAACAGTACTTATGAATACTCATAAAATAAATACAAAATATAAAAATCCAAGAATCCCTAAAAAATTAAAAACCCTAGAAATAAGCTCTAAAATTAGAATACAATATGCACCTTTGAAATTGAATCAAAATTAAAAAAATAAAAAACTTCCCTTCATCATTCTCCCCTGTTTGGAGAAAACTTGTCCTCCAATTTTGAAGTGTGCTAAGATGAATTTAGCATCAAAACCACCTTCTTCAACCTTCTTTTCTTTGTCAGCTCAAATATTATTCATGGTAAAAAAAAATTCTCAAGAAACGATCCTGATATGCATATTGATGAATCAATGCAAATTTATCAAATATGGCTATCCTTGAATTCCTATTGGAAATCGTGTAGGCAACTTCAAACCCAATTTTTCGTGTAGAGACTTTCTCAACATCTATTTAATTACACTCTGGAATTAGGGCAACAATTTGGGGCTTATGAGTCAACCACGCTTCCTATGTGCCACTCTGATTCCAACGCCCTAAATCTGATGAATGCTCCACTTGTTCCATATCCTTACGATCTTTGAAGGCCATGATTTTAATCAATCCACCTGTTGCCTTCTCTCCATATTCTTCAGGAGCAAGATCCTCTCGCGAAACATCTTCATCTCAATCTTTATCATAACTTGGATTCCCTAAAGATCTTGTTGTTCATCGAAGTATGTGTCAAAGATTGGTGGTGAATCCCAATCTACAACTTACTGATTTTCAATGCATCATGTGCCAAAATTAAGAATCTCATCCTTCAAATCAAAATCCGTAGAGTGCTAATCCCCCACATCTAGGTCTTCTATCATTGTCCTCATCACTCGACTCCCAACATGGACTGCGAAAGTGAACAGACTTGTACTCGAGATCCTCTTGGCTGAAAGATCTCCATCTTACCCATTATTGAGGCTCACGAACTATTGCGTCAGCCACTAAACTTCCCTCTCAAATTCATCAATTCTATTATCTCTGTAATCACAAAGTGGATCTACGAAATCCACAGTCCCTTCTTGCTGCCATGGGTCCACCAATTTCACAAATCCTAGGAAGATGATCAACAAAAACGTGCTAAAATTCAGCAAGATCTAGGCTAATTTAGAAAAAAAAAAAAAAGGGGGCCAAAATCAGCAAACCCTAGACCCCGACTGTAACTTCCCGGCTTTGTTGTTGATCTAGGGCAACAAAATATCAATCGTATAGTATTGTCTGTACGGTGCCGCAGAAACGTCCGTACAATGCTACAATACCTTTTGTTCACTGCTAGAGTAGCGTCTGTACATTGCTACAGTATTGTCTATGCAGATCGTCAGGCTCATACTAATTTGATGTAAGAAAATTTAAGAAAACAGTAAAATCAACAAGGAACAAGCCAAACACAAGCACATTTCAAAAAAACCTAAGGTTTCTTCTCTACACCTAAGCTAGGGTTGCAAAGGCCTAAGCTTTTCCTTTTCTCAATTCTAAAACCACCTCTTTATAATATTATTTAGTGTTTTAAGTACAAAAAGTGTCCCAACAAATAATACATTGATCCATATATCTTAACTTCTTCAAATTTGTAATGATAGTTTTACCCATGTGAATAGTATTGTGAATAGTACTCATGAAGTAAATAAAAAAATATAAGAACCCCTAAAAAAACTTAAAAGCCCTAAACATAAACCTCAAACCAAAACCATAGTATACGTCCTTTGAAATTTAAAAAATTAAAACTAAATTAAAAATAAGAATAATTTTACCCTCTATCAAAAAGTCTCTTGCCAACTAAGTTTTCCATGGACACATCTTTCATTTCCAAAAGGCTATTCTCTTCTTTAATACAAAGAGACCGTTGAAGTTGAACAAGATCAACATCAACCTTCTTATATTTCATTTTCTTTTCGTACTCTCTCCATGATGGGGGCAACTTATGAGTAATGGCTCTCACTTGGAAAGCCTCACTCAACTCCACTCTGCAGCATTTAAGTTCACTTACAAGCAGCTGTAACTCATATACTTGACTAAGCATAGGCTTATTTTTAGTAAATTTCAAGTCAAGGTAATTGAAAATAAAAAATCGTTGATTACTTGATTATTTGGTCTTGTATTTGATCTCCAACTCATTCCATACATCTTTTGTTGTAGAAAAAGGTCCATTCATGTTGAAGATGGGGACTGTGAGTGCATTGACGATGTGTCATTTGCATATGAAGTCATTCTCTATCCACTTCCGGCAAAGTTTCAACTTCTCCTCTCATTGTTGTGCTTGCCACCTCTGAAAGTTCGACCCCATCAAAGCAGTCGATATCACAGCTTTGAAAGACTCCATATTTCACCTGGGATATTGTCCTGAATTGTTGGAAATGGGAGGGTGAAACAAGCAAAATACTAAACAAAAGATCTTACAATATCTCTTATTGCAAGCGCGATATATCGCTTCTCAAGACAATATTTGGCTCTTACTAATAAGAATCAATTTGCATCTCCACTAGTCTAATTTGTCCTCGGGATATATGGGAGAAGAGGATTAAGAAAACTATACAAATGCACAAGTATTTGAGATCTAAAACATCAAAGTTGCCTCGTTCTAGAGAGAGAGTTCTCCCCAAACACTTTAGAATGAAGAAAATTTAATATGTCAAAGTTTTATAAAAACTAGAGGAAACAATTTCCTATTTCAAAAGAGATGAAGTGTTTTTTGGCTACTCCATGTAACTATAGAAGTCAAGAATTGCGCCTCTCAAAATCTCAACCGCTAATGCAGTGCATCCGCTACAACCCGACATCCAACAGTCATGCAGTAACTTTTTGGGTTCTAGGAAAGCAGTGGTCACACTTTCCAAGCGTAACCCAAAAGTCACACGGTGTCTCTTCGGGTTCCAGAGAAACAACCGTCACACATTATGTACAGCTTCTTCACTTGTGGAACACAAGTACCAAAGCACACCAATCTATCAGAGTCGCATGCCTTCGCTGGTGAGGTACAATTCTCCATAACACGTCAATCCACATGAACTATCCAATGGGGCATAGTTCACCAGAGTGCACCAATCCACCGGAACTGTGTTAAGTTCACCGGACGGACACATTACATTACCAGGACTATAGTCTACTAAAGGCTAAGCTAGTTGTGGTAAAAAGAAAGACGAGCCCAAACTAGACACGTGCTTGGACAAGGGCGCTTCCTGGAGTGTGTGAAGTGTAAAGTGCGCCATCAAAAGCCCTTGCACCCCCCGCCCTCGCCCTCGCACATGCACACGCACGTGAGAGTGCAAGTTCTCATGTTATGCTTTTACCCTACAAAGCCCTTCTCTGCATTTGGTTCTTAGAATACAAGCGAAGAGGACATCCACATATTTAAGCTAGGCTTCCCTCATCCACATCTTTCATGTGGAATAAATAACCTACTACTTCTCTTTTTGCAAATAAGATAAAACATACTTTCCAACACATTATACTTTCCAAAACACTATGAAACAAAAGGGATATTATTTTTAAATAGCAAAGTATTTTTCAAAGCAAAATACTCTCATCACAAACCTGTTTCTAGATAGCAAAGTTCTAGCTCATCATATTCTCGCAAGGAGTCCTCATGGAGATGAGCCATCTCAAACATGAAAGCTAAGCTCTCCTGAGGACCAAAGACAAAATATTAGGAGTCCAGCTAGTGACCAATTTAATACCATAGAAAACTCCCACTCATCTTTTGTATGTGAACAGACATTCATCAGAATGATCACTCTGACAAAAATAGAATAGATAACAGCATGAAAGCCTACCTTCAAAATAAAGAAGTTACAAAAATTCCACACTGGCATGAAACGTTGTTCACTGAGCTTACGAATCTCCTCCTCATAGAATTGAACACGTCTGTCCAAAGTATTTCTGATAGATTCAATTATCCTGGAATCAATATCTTCCCATACAGATGTTTCTGCTCCATGTATATCTAGTTTGCAGCACCTGTAAGCATATGCAGCACCAATAGAAACAGCTCATGCAATCAAGCAGGGCAATCTTGTTAATGTGTGTAAGAAGAATGAAGACTGAAGTTGCAATTAAATTCACGTTGAAATAATGGTACCGTTTCAAGAGAGAGGGTGCATGCCCTTCCTAATGATGCAGTTTCAGACCATCTTTTCTCTGACAACATGCTTCTTTTATTGGAAAATTCATGGAACAATTCTGTTCTTTTCAAATCTATACAAACTCCTTACCAGGAGCCCAAATCAAATCTCATAACTATTATGTACCATCTGCTACATAGTTTAAGGAGCCCATGATTGGAAGCTCCAAATACTATGCATAAGTCGAGAACCTTGCGATTAAAAACTTCAAAATATAATATTCCAGAATGATAGTCAAAAAACAAACTTTGAGGTGCACAAACCATTTGCGTTAAGAAATCAATATCTTCATAATAACACAAACTTAACAATAAAACATGATGAAAAATAAATAAACATGATGGGAACATACGATTTAAAATTAAAGTTTTATGCACAGCCAAGATACAGGATAGCATGAACCTCATGCTCCAAAAGGATATACAGAAAATGTGACACTACAAGTCCTTAAACAAGATAAATGAAAACAGAAAAGGCAGAGAGTTCCCACAGAAAATATAATTTAATGAATATGAGTAAGGAAAATGAGGAGCAAAGAAACCCACATAACATAGGTAGAAACACAGAAGAATAACAAGCACTAGGTAAAGACTGATATGTAACCCAACATGCATGATCAAAATGTGCATTCTAGTTCCATACATCCCTCCACGCTAGTGAATTTAACCAACATCAATCCAAATAGTGAAACTTCATGAAAATAGAATACTGCAAAGAGAAAAGGAGAGGGGATTTAGTGTTTGACAAAAGATCCATGCCATGAGAATTTGGGCCATCGCTATGAAGGTAACAGCATTTTAGCATTGGCCTAAGCCTAACAAAGAATGAACAATTCTGACAATGCATAAACATATAATAGGCAATACAAAGCTATCAAAAATAGAATTTGTACATCTATCATCGATTACTCACTTTATGTCTACAAACAAAATTTTCAGTCCAATTGTAATGAACATTAGTTACTCTTGTTTTACGGGTCCAGACACTAGATACACTTATCGTATAATGCGTCTAGTAATAAGTTTCAAGGTAATTTTCTCTTTTCTGATAAATAACCCTTGTGGATTAAGGATTAGCAGAAGAAGAGCACTGCAGAGATAATATTACAGCAAAAGAGAGATTCCCATACAATCAAACCCACTCGAGAGACCCCATTCTGGTTCACCATATCAGCTCTCGATCTGCTTTCGATAAGCAATCTGGAACAAGATCACCTTCGAGCCTATGACCACTATAGTTTATTGTGACACATCTGCAAGTCCCTGTAGGATAATTGATTATGTTGGTTTGATACTTGAAGTGGATTGAGACTCTATGACGATTATGATAAAACAGAAAGGACTATTTGTAGACAAGCATACAAAGAGATTATGTGAGGAAAAGAAAAATGCCCCCTGCTTGAACATGATCTGCTCTGTAGATTGTACCAGAGTTGGGGTCAGGAGTGGAAAGGGATTGGGAGTGTGGGATCCTGATAGGCTAGAAGCTCGCTATGGTCAAGATTGCTCTCCATACACCCTGAATTTTAGAGATCTCAATCTCAACATATTGGGGAAGTCTATCCGAACTTTTTAAGATCACAAGACAAATTCTAGAGGTCCAAGATCCATATGGTAAAAGCATCTTTTTTCAATCTGAAAAATATATTGAACATGATTTTGCAGCATAATTACTTTATTTTTTTGATTGATATGCATCCAAGACTTATTTCCTTATAACAGATCAATCACACAAGGGTGTGATCTAAATTGACTGATCCCAAAAGGATTGGGAGTGAGCATGGGATCGCCGCAATGGCCATCACGTGGAAGATGCCAGTAACTATGGAATCTACATCCATTTCTATCAACTCAAAAGAGACACACATCTAAATTGGGACGATGACATGATAGTCCCAAACAGGATTTTGCCTGATAATGAGATAGACACCTAGAGTTTGAAACTCCGTTATGCAAGCATAGCTGATTGACGAATTGAGCCCGTCCCCCTCCCCCTCCCAAAAAAAAAAAACCCCACCCGCTTAAAAACAAACAAAAAAAAAGGTAACTTGCTAGCCAGTTTTGCATGTATATGTAATCAGCAACATTCAATCCAGAATGAAGATGCTATAAATAAGCATGGTTGGAAGCTCACCGTTCTCTCTTTTTGGAGTTAAAATCAACTTCAAGCTTGGCATATATTTTCTTTGCTGACTTCGTGGCCTGATCATTGCTAGGATGTGCTTTTGACACAAAAACTATAAACCACTCACGTTCATCATTCTGAACAATCAATTTCAATCGAGGTTTTAGAATTGTCTTGAACTCATCAAGATCCTGCAGAATAAGAAAAATGAAAGCATTACAAAAATACTTCAGTGAGGAAACCATAAAGAGAGTGCAGATAAAGGCATATTTCTAAAAAAAGAGACTGTAAATGCCAGATTGATTGGACTTTAGAACTTGCGCCATAGCATCAAACACTAAATAGATTGTTTCTTCCAACTCTTACATTGGAATCTAACTCAGAGTTTGATTCCTAAATATGCATAGCACACTTACTTTTATTTACTGTATTAAAAATAATGGCACTATAATCATAGAATAGTGGAAACATTGCAGAAACACAGGAACCTCAACAGTTTTTTAGGGAATTAGTGAGTAACCAGAATAAAAGAAAATGCATCAGGATACACATGTAAAATTGCCGTGCCGCCTACACAAGAAAACCTAAGCACAAAGAAGTCAAGTATATGATAAAAAGAGTTGCAAGTACAAAATTGCAAGGCATGTTCTTGTAGAAATAATCTAAGAAAAATCATGATTTCATAACTTTAATTTGAGCCATGGGCACAAACATAGCCAGGAAAAAAAAGGCAATGATTACTTTTTACAATGGTGAAAAGGTAGAGAGCATGAAACTAAGACAAGGGTATAAAATAAAAAGAACCTCACAAATATGAAACTAGGACAAGGATGGTGAATACTGAATATTACCTCACAAGTGACAAGAACTGCAGTTGCATAGGGTTCACGGAACCAAAACAAATATTGTTCCTGTGGAAAGCGACTGCGGAGGCGAGCATCAGTTGTCAATATGAACTCAACGGGTAGATTTTCAACATATACAGGATTCCGAGTCTTGTTATTGAGACAAGCTTTTTTGAATGGCAATCGTGCCTCAAATCCATCCTTGACAGTTGGCCACAAATCACTAACATCTTCAACTGATAAATAAAACAAGCATAAAAGCCATAAGCAACTCAACAGTGTAAAAGGACAGAAAAAGTGTGATAGTCGAACCCACAAAGTATATTATCTAATAAATAAGAACCAACTATAAAGTATTGCTCCTAATGTTAACACAGTACACCAAGGTTATACACATATATACAGGCATGCTCATATTGTACTTGGTAATTACTATGTGTATTCACAAATGCCCAAGAAACACACTGTTGTTCACTTAAAAAAATAAAAATTGACTAGAACTGCACCAGAAACTAGAGCACCCAACTTTAGATGGCCTACCTATTGCAGAACTGTTTTTCTCCTTTAGGGATCTGAAGTTCGATGGTGACAAGAAATAAACAGAATTTTTATAATCCCAAGTACAGAAAATCAGAGCCAAACGACGCAGTCGTCTGTTAAGGACTGGCTAGTATTTCAGTTCTTACTGTGTTTCAATAGATATTTGACCATATAATAGTTCATTCTAATATATTGACTCAGTATCCACACAAAATGTACACACCAGCGTTTCAAAACCCAGAACGGCCAGGTCAACTAGCCTTCCAGAAATCCAGCATGGATTGGGGAATCAAACGATTCTCTGGTGTGAGAATCGGTCAATAAAAATAATACATAAAAACTTAAAATAATAAATAAAAATAAAAAGTATAATCAGTGGGAATAAGGCGATTTAGCCAGTCTGGATCGCCCAGCTGCCTAACAGAACAAAGCGAATCCATCCAATTCGGACCGACTCCTGGTTTTGACAAGGAACCAGGGTGGTAGAGACCAATTCCCAATCTGTATGGGCGATTCCTGATCTAGATTGGCTAATTTTAAATCACTTGTATTCACATAGAAACCTACTATAGTTGGTCTTTTTCTCTCCCATTGGGTGGCACAGTTCAGATTCTAGTGCGCTACATCTAATATCATAGATGTTTAAAACTTCAAATCATAAAGAATTTTCCTGCACTTTAACAAGGTATGCTTGGGTGAGAGGGGGTGGGGGGTGGGGGGTGGGGGGTGGGGTGTGAGGGGTGAACGTATCATCTAAAATACCTTGTTACACCAGTTATTTATTTTTGTAGCTTAACGTAAAAAGCATTTAAAAGGTTCCCTTTAAAGTGTACACAATCTGAAAGACCTAGTTCTGTGTTCACTTGATTCTTTACTTTTTTTAATTTCCTCCGTAAGCATCTAGGCAAGGTGACCTATTACCCCATTCAAGGTAAGCCGTTGATCACCATGATCCGATACAAAAGGATTTAAAAACACATCCAAGGCACTTCTATTAAGTAATATTTGCCTGGATACAAGTGCCAAGTAAAGCATATAATGATAAAAACTACAAAAGTGACTTTTCAAAAGCATCGACTTCCTACCAGCCTTTTTGTCCATAGAACACTCTGGCATTATGCTAGTGAGAGCAAACAAAGAAACATGTTCCACTGCTTCTTATTCCAATTGGTCATAACCATGTACCTCCCTAAATCATTTGACTTCGAAACATAGATTGACAACCTAAAGGCACATCTAAGATTTTCCTTTAGCTGATTCATGTGCATTAATAATTGCATATTAGCTTAGTTGATAGAGAATGGAAAAATCAAGAAATGCACAGCTCCTCCTCATGGATGGTAATGAATAATGTGGTCAATTAATATCGATCTGATTTAGTATTTGAATAATCATTTCTCACATTACTGTCAAGAACTCTAAGAAAGCAAAGGCTAGAGATGAACTTGACAATGGAAGAATATAAACTAAAATCTGGCAAGATGAATTGATAGGAATAGAAGAGACTGGCATAGCTTTTCGAACATCAGATCACCATACTCCTAGCATTTCAAACAAAATGTTCCACTGGACCCATCAAATTACCACTGTCATTTAAGATAACCGAACTCAATTCATCTTGACCTAGCATTAACAACCAGAACGAATCACAAACAAAATTCAACAAATCAGAGGTGCATGAGAAACACAGAGAAACCAATCAAGTCAATGGAAATTAGTGCACACCTGCTACGACCAGGCGGTTTGAAGAGCTCTTGATCGCCTGAAACTGAGCTAGGTAATTGGCCATGGAGGAATGAGATCTGATACTGAGACGATAATGGATTTGAAAAAAAAGGAAGAAACAACCCTAGAATTAGGAGCAGAAAATCGTCATATTGATCGGTGATAGAATTTGATAGGCCAGATGTTTAAAAAATGCTGACCCGGGGTGTGATCAGCTACGAGTTCGATTTACCAGCGGCGGTTAGTTGGGTGTCGCAGTAGTAAATAGTGCAAAATGTAAACCAAATTTTGGGTGTCGCGAGGTTCTGGTGAGGCACTCGAGTTGCAGAGAACAGGAGGTGAAGGTTTTTTTAGGGTTCGTTGGCTCATCAAACCCGTCCCCAGCTGCTGTATGCAAAGGTATGGATTTTGTAGTATGAAACCTCCTCCCTCTGCTTTCCCCTCACTGCCCCTTTCAAAAACTCTCTCTGCTTTCCCCAGCTGCTGCACCCCTCCTAAACCTCACTCTCTTTCTGCTGTCCTTTCAAACCTCCACCCAATCTCTCTCCCTAAATCCTATCTTTCTCCCTCACAGTCACGGTCTCTCTGCCCTCACCCAGATATCTTTCCCTCTTTCCCCTCTGCTCTCTCTTTCTCTCTCAAAACCCCCAGAATCTCGTGCTTCGCTCATCCCCTCACAAACTCTGCCCCCAATAAAATATCTCTCTCTCTCTGTAATTCTCTCTCGGGCAAGCCCCAATCTCTCGCACTCTCTCTCTCTCAATCTCAAATTCTCTATCTCTCCCTCACCCAATCTTCTCAATCTCTCCCTGTGTTTTCACGAAACTCTCTCTTTTCAATCTCTTTCTCCTTCTCTCTCCCAATCTCCCCCAATCTTCTCTGGGTGCAGTTGGCCTGGCTGCAGTTGACATACGGATGCATCCGTAGTGTGCCTTCAAATTTTATCACGGTACATTATTTTGATGTAAAATGTTTTTTTTAGACTTGAATTTTTTTTTATTTTTCATCGTCATACATCTCAATGTCCAAATAACCAATCAAAAGGTTTTTCAACATTAAAATTACTTTTTTCTATTTTTGAAGTGCTACATTTTAGGGGTGCAACCTTATATAAATATTTTCCTTCTCCCTCTCTTTCCCTATCTCCCCCAATCTTCTCTCGATGTTCCATTCCTCTCTCTCTCCCTTTCTTTTTGTCTCTCTCTTTCTTTCAACTTTTTCTCTCCAAATAAACCTATTAACTCATACTCTCTCCCCCTCACACTATTTATTTCCCTCGAATTTTTATCTCTCATGCCCGTTCCCTAGCTTTTTCTCCCCCACACACTTTTCTCTCTCTTGATGGACCCAACTCCCCGCCCTTGGACGACCTGACTATAGTTGGGGTTATCTCTTCCCAGCAATCAATATTTTCCAATGGCGATCCCAACCGAATACCTGCTAGTCAAGACTCCACGCTAGTAGATCCAAGCCACTTTCCGCCATTACTTGTTGCAAATGGCGATGCAACCACCTCTACTGCGGTGAATAACTCGACTCCCTCTCAACAGCAACCTGCCAATTCACCGCCCTCTGAGGGTCGTGATGGGAAGGGAGAGGTGATGAATGACTGTGGAAGGTCTTGGGAACAGTAGGAATGTATGTCAAAGGAATCCTTCCTCCTTACTCTTCCTGTTTGGACAGCACGGTGTGCAAAACGAGATAATTTATTTTAGTAACTTGCCCATAGAACCTTCACATGCTGTTAAAGGCAAGAGGTGTGCCACCATTGATGATGAGCTCTACAAAAGGTGTGTGGCTAGATGGAACCATAGACTGTTGGGATATGATGCTGCCAAAAATGTGGCGCATGTAGTCCGACCTCGAGATGGTGTCCCTCAATGATAGCTTCTTATTATTTACATTCAAATCGGTTGAGGACATGGAGATGGCAATGATTAAGGGGGGGCATGGTTTATTAACAAGAAATGTCTCGTCCTTCAGAAATGGATTCCTAATGCTTTGCCATCAGGGAAGAATCTTCGTACAATTCCAGTTTGGATTAAGCTCCCTGACCTTCCATTACTCTGTTGAGAACCGGACAATGTGGTTGCAATGAATGATCTCGCCATGCAGAAACCCCGTCAAGCTTATGTTGACATGGTAGAGGTGCTTGCACCTAGCCCATTGGATGGAACCTTGGAGGGCGATCACACACAGCGACCAAACTAACCCTGAGACGTTGATCAACGTCCCTTATGATGATAGCATGCCCTCCTCTAAACCGTTGGATGATGGAAGGAAGGATAATGACACTGCTAGCACCAAGAGTGTTGTCCGGGGAGCTAGGGCTTCTGAAGGCTTGGACAAGGAGGCTGCTCTGGAGGAGGAGGCTGCTCTGGAGCAGGCGGCTCCTAGGGACAGTAACTCTCTCTCTATAGGCAAGCGCATGCCTTTCGATCCTCCAAACATGGAAACACCACAGGGGCTAGAAGTGACAAGGTGGAAGGACAATGTCACCGAATTGGAAAGAGACCACTCGAGATCAAGCACAAGGCAGGCTCTAAATCAATCCTTGACTGCACAAGGACATATTGCAGACACCAGCCGCACTCTTAGCATGTCAACAGCTCTGCCTGGGTCAAAAGGGCCATGGATATGATTGGCTACAAGGATGGAAGACGAGCGCAGCCTGGCAGTAAAACCTTCATAAGTGATGTTTTTGCCTACTCCAATACCAAATGGCGGAATTTTGTTGGACGAAAATTTTGGAGATGGTGCAATGGCTTTGTTGCATCGAAGCTCTACAACTAGAGGCAGTGCTATTGTCCTAACCAGAATGTCAACATCAACATTCGGTCCAATGAGAGAGATGCGGTTGTTTTAGGTGAGATAAAAAATGAAACCACTCACACCAAGCCACTAACCTTGACCTCTTATGATTTCCCTATTTCACCCAAGCTCATCGAAACTCACTAGGATGGCCAGGTCACCAGGGTGAAATTTCGAACCCCACCAGATGACACAGACAAAACTGGGAGAGACAACAGCTCGACTATGAAGGGTGGCCAAATAAAACAAGCTGCATGTAACATGTTGCCCCCAACTTTAAGTGAAACCCAACCGGATAAGGTGGGCTCCTCACAGCCACTGAAGGGTTTGAGGGTGAAATTAAGGAGTAACCGTCGCAAATGATCTCAACACTAAAAGTTAATATAACTTCAAAAACCAAACCAACATTGTGCAAAGCTATGGGTCCGCTCAACACCCAGGTATGTCCTCATCTTCCTCCTAATTTAATTATGTCAATTTTATCACGGAATGTTAGAGGAATCAATACCACAGGTGGGACATTCGACATCAGAAACCTTATAAGTAATCATGATGTCGGTTTGTGTTTTCTACTTGAAACGAAAATGAAAATACAATCAGCTAAAAAATGGTTTAAAAGATTGGGGTTCTATAATTCCTTTGTCATTAATGAGATAGATGATAGATCAAGAATCATGTTTGCTTGGAATCCTAATATCTACTCCGTTAATATCATCGATGTCCAATATCAAGCCATTACTGCAAAGGTGCATCGGCCTAGGACCGGGGTCTCTTTTGTCATCATTGGTGTTTATGGTCGTAATTTTGTTTCCGAAAGAGGTATTCTACGGGACCATTTGCGCAATATCAAGCTACAACACTCAAGCCCATGGTCGGTGTTAGGGGATTTTAGTTCTGTTTTGGACCAAACTGAGAAGTATGAGGGCAGGAGCGAGTTCAGCGCAGATTCGAAGGTGTTTGCTAAGATGTTAGTGGACTGCGCCCTTGTGGACCTTGGCTCTTCAAGGGGATGGTTTTCATGGTCGAACAACAGTATTGGGGCAGATATTGACTTGGCAAATATTGACTGGGTGATGGATATGCCGGAGGTTAAAGTGGAACTACTGCCAAAAGGCACTTAAGATCACTCTCCCTTATTGGTGTCTCCTTTTACCCCACCATTAGGACTTGAGCCTTTCAGATACTTTTCCATGTTGCACGACGCCCCGGACTTCATGAAGCTTATCAAAAACTCATGGCAGAGCAAGATTGAGGGCACTCTAATGCACAAATTTGCTTCCAAATTAAGAAGATTGTATGGAGATATCTGTAGATGGAATAAAATGTCATTTGGTCTAGTTGGTACAAGGATAAGGGAAGCAAGAGAAAGACTTTCGGTGTTGCATGATTTGATAAATACTAGCCATAGGGATCTCTCCATTATGTCTGAAGAAGCACAACTCACAACACATTTACAACATGCTATTGCCCAAGAAGAGAGTACGTGGAGAGAGAAATCATGTGAAACATGGCTAAAAGAGAGTGACTCCAACATCAATTTTGTTCACATGTCTACTATTGCCAGGAGGTGGAATGATAGAATTATCTATCTCAAAGACTGCTGGTAACCATATTTCAGACCCCGAGTCTATTGAAACTCATATGACCTTTTTAAAGACCTCCTAGCCTCATAGCCACAAGAAGAATCCTTAAGGGGGGCAAAAGCTCAAGACTTCCTACCAGAAGAGCGACTCACTCAAGACCAGTGCAATGAATTGATTAAAAATGTCTCATTAGAAGTTATCAAAAAATGTGTGTGGGGTATAAAGTCAGAGAGTGCATCAGATCCTGAAGGTTTTAGAGTAGAATTTTATAAATTCAGTTGAGATGTCATTAAAGCGGATATTTTCAATGCACTCGAGGATTCATTTGGGAACGGTAAGTTCTTAAAAGAGGTAAACTCAACTTTCATATGCTTGATTCTTAAAGTGACATGCCCTACTGTTATGAATGATTTCCGACCCATTGGCTTATGCAATATTGTTTACAAAATTATCAGCAAGATAATTGCAAATAGGCTTAAGACGGTTTTGGATGGGCTTATCCACCCTTGTCAGGCGGCTTTCTTGAGAAGCAAGCATATTATTGATATGATGTCCTAATAGTTAATAAGCTCATGTCCTTGTGCCACAAAGCCTTAGCCATACCCAAAATATGCCTTCAACTATATCTCATTAGTGCTTATGACAGGGTCTCTTGGAAGTTCATTTTAAATAGACTCTATGCCATGGGGCTCCCAGATATTTTTTATATTATAGATTCAACACTACATCATTACCCCATCATGCTCTATACTGCACAATGGATCTCCTGTGGGCTATTTAAGGGGAAACGGGGTTTGAGACAAGGTGACCCTCTCTCCTCCTACATATTCCTTATTGTGATGGACTACCTTAGTAGAATGCTTGATGTGGCTATTGCAACCAAATACCTCCCTCCTGCCTTTCCCATCAGGGTGCAACTATGGGGTCATTCATTTGATCTATGTGGACGACACACTTATTTTTTGTAAGGGCTCTGCACAAGCAGTGTGAACCATCAAACATATTATTGACATTTTTTGCAAGGTCACGGGTCAACAACTTAATTAAAGTAAGAGTAAAGCTATATTTTTTGGAGTCGGCGCAAGCTTGAGAGCTCAAGTCCTCGATATCCTCCGATTTGGGACAGGTGAACTTCCTGCAAAATATCTTGACCTCCCTCTCTTCCATGGTCCCCTAAGGCACTCTCACTGCCACAGCTTACTCGGGAATACTATATCTTGGATCAGGCCCTAGCAAGCTTTGCCTCTTTCCTTTGCAGGGCGCCTACAACTTCTATCTATTGGTTGCTCTCATTCTCTGTTCCGAGCTGCACCGACAATGTCATCGAAAGACTCCAACGCAACTTCCATTGGGCAGGGACACCTGAGACAATGGGACTTCATCTTGATAAGTGGAACATCGTATGCCAAAAAACTGAAGAAGGAGGTATTGGGATCCGTCATATTCACGATCTCAATATGGCTGACATGATGAAGTTCGCTTGGAGAGTTATCTCAAAACCTTCATCTCAATTGTCTCGTTTTTTTAAGCATAGATACTTTCGCCACTCA